TTAGTTCTTAATAATTATCCCTGCATATTCAAACAGTTGGTTCCTGACAGTCTTGTCCTCAGTTAACTGAGTGTACAGTTCAACAGTCTGCCTGGTCCCCACAGTGATGACGTCTGTGGTCTTTGATGCTCTTAGCTGCAGAGATTGAGGTGATGTGGCTCCAGAGCTGTTCCACAGGGGAAGCTGGAACTGAATTGAGCAACTTCCCCATTCTTCCTTGCTTGTCTCTTGTGGTTTTATGTTCCTTGTGATGAAATGGGAGGCTTTCTTCTGCTTCTGATGCAATATATCTTATTCTGGGGACAGGGAATTGTTTGTGTATCACCAGGCATCTTATCTGCTTTTTCTGCACCTGATGTTGCCTGCTCTACATCCTGTGATCTTATCTTGCAAGCTTTACTGCTAGAACGCTTCTTCCTAGACCCTGGTTGTGCAACTGTACCACAAATCTCTGTTTGTGCCTGTGACATGTTTACATGTAGCTATGATGCAGAAGGCTTGTCTGCTGTTACTGGCTGTGCTCCTGGTAGTGTTAGAGTAGCACAAAGTACACTGTCACCTTTTAGTTCAGCATGTTTGTATTATGTCTAGGTTTGGGGCAAGCTGGCATTAATTATATCCTGCTTAGTGTGTTGCCCATTTGTTAGTGCACTAGGCCTCTGCTTTGGCTTCAGCTGGTTCCAGAAGAGGTCTGATGGTCAGATCCCCTTGTTTCTGTGGCCGAGCTGATCACCTGTATGGTGCTTGGATATCCAGGGTTACCTGCTCATTGTAAGCTTTGGCTTGCAAGCTTCTGCAGTGTGTTTTGTGGGGGTTTGGGGCTAATAAATAAATGTATTATACTTGAGTTAATAAATAGACTTTTGAAACACTTTTTATGGTTGTCTACATGTCCTTGGTTGAGCTGTAAATTATAGAGGCCTCAGATAAAAAAAAAGTTGCCATTTCTTTAAAAATCAGAATAAAAATGAAGGAGCCTTGTCATGGATGTCTTTTTTTTTTTTTTTTCTCTTTCTTGCCAAGAAAAGTTGGAAAAGTTTATCTGTCAACCCCATCTACATGTTTTCTGGTCTCTGCTCTCAAACCTTGGACAAATTGCAGTCTGCCTCCTGTGTTTGCCAGCTATGCACCAGGACAGTCGTCCTGTGGGACAAGTGCTGTGGAAGTGTCCCAATTTCCACGCCTGTGGGCATGGGGGGAGACAGGAGGCAAAGAATCCCTGACTGGGCCAGATGCTGCAGTTCAGCCTCTAGGACAGCTCTTTGTTTTGCATCCAAAATTTGATAGAATGACATAAATTTTAAAAACGTATTTTCTTTATATTTTCAGATTTTTCTGCTTCAGCTGATTCAAAAGTTGTGATACTTACAGTTAATTCTCTGGGTAATGCTCAGACTTACCTTGATGTCCTACAAAGCAATGTGGATTTGCTCAGAGGGATTATCCCTGCACTGTCACACTACAGCCAGAACACTGTTCTCCTTGTTGCTTCTCATCCAGGTACGTTGGTGCTTCCCCAAACGTTCTGTCCCTCAGCTGGCTTTCTCCTTGGCCTGTTGGAAAAATATGTTACTGCCAAATACACCCACTTAAGTCAAAAATTCTTGCTACTCTGAAAGATGTTTTCCTTTTCAGCTTTGAGCAGAACACTCTTTGAGGGCTTTTTCTTTACTGTTACCAAGATAAAAGGAAATAGTATACTTTGTTTTGTATAAAAGGTATGTATTTGTGTATGTTTCTGTGTGTGGTTTCAACCTGTGTCTACAAGATGATCCATTGGCTGTTGTCTTGTCAGTTGAGGTGTATGTATACAACTCTCCTGTGCAGTAAGGATGGATGCATGCATGTTATGTGCCATATCATCACTCACACTACTCCTATCCATAATATTGTGTTGATAGTAAATGCTGCAGCAATGTTTTGGTGCAAAATTTAAAGTAAGTGCACTGTAAGTGTCCTGAAGACAGCCCTTTCTATTTCCCAAGTGCTTCTTGCCCTTCCTACAATTTGTAGCCACGGAGATCGAGAAGAAACTGCTTGCCAAATGAAAAGAAATTAAACAGTGGCTGAATTATGTGAGATTTTTGGCAGAGGGAAGGATGGTGACTTATTCTGAAGCTTCACTTGACATCTCTTAAAACTTTACTTGGGCTGTGAATTTTCTTCACCTCCTCCACACCTGGCTTGGTCTTTTAGGTTGAAATAAACTGTTGATCTGTTCTTACATGTTTATACCTTTACTGAAGTAAAAAAACTTGGTCCTCAGTTTTTCACAGTTGTAGTTTGTAGTTTGCAATTGTGTTAAATTTTGAGTAGTCCTTCATTGGCAATGTGTTTTTCTTTTACTTATAGTTGAGGTCATGACATACGTGTCATGGAAGCTGAGTGCATTTCCCAAAAGCAGAGTTATTGGAGTAGGTGCCAACCTAGATACTGAAAGATTTCAGTATATACTGAGAAACCTCTTGAAAGCACAGGTCCCAGCAAGAGATGCTTGGATTGTTGGTGAACAAGGGGAAGACAAAGGTAAAGTGATACTTCATTATGAGTATATAATGTCCTGGCAGTGCTTAAGTAATTGAGTAATGAAAGAATAATTGAGAAAAGTAATGAGAAAGGTAGTCATAAGCCATGTGGTAGATTTTCATAATGATGGTTCCAAGTAATACAATTTTGGTCTGTACCCAAGACTGCAGAGCTGGAGTGGTAGCAAAACTACTTGACACTTGTCACAGTAAGAAAAGATATATAGAAAATCCAACCTTAAATGCTATTTATTTGGTGTAACAGTATACATTAGAGGTACTAAAAAAGAAAGGAAATGTGGTATCATATATTGTAAGTTACTGCTAATGTAAGAATTATTACATATCTTATTTTTAAGCAAGTGTCTCTGGCCAGGTGCTACTATAGAGTTTATACAGAGATTATTTCAGCAGCCCAGGGAACCTTAGAAAATCCTCAGTTACATTTCAGTGGCTGTGGGGAAGGAAAGCTTAGTAAGCTTGAAGCTGCTTTAGTAGTAGTAGTATTTTTTTTTTTTTTCTCACCTTATCTGGCACCTGTTTGGGTTGCTGTTTAGACATGCATTCAAATATTGGTTGTTTCTATCTAGTACCATCCTGGACCAGCTGTAATTCAGCTGCAGATCAAACGGAAGGAACGGCTGCTCGTAACTCAAGGGAAACTGTAGCCAACAGGTAACACCATTAGAATTGCTTTTTTTTTTTGTCTTCATGTTTAGGTACTTGATGTTTGCAGAGTTCTTTCTTCTGTCTCTTTATGAAGAGGAGGAAGTTTGCTCTAAAATGTTTACACGTGGAGTTGATAGGAAATTGTAGGTCTGGGTGTCATTCATTTTTATGTATGTGTACATTCCCACTGTTTTTCTGATGTTCTTACTAATGTTGTGCCTGTGATGACTTAAGGACAAGTCAAGCCTTGTAGAGTATTAGAGCTTCCAGTCTGGTTGTGTGGAAGCAGTTTACTTCAAAGAAAGCACAAGTTTGGATCAATTTGCCTCATTTAATTAGCCACGTATCAGTTACACCTCTTGGCAGAAAAAAAGAACTGTTACTAGTGTGGGTAAAATGTACATAAATTCTTGAAAGCAATTTTTAATTCCCTTCTGTTGTTTTCAAAACAAACCCATGTTTTTATAGTATGCTTTAAGTCACATGGTACACTTAGAATCTGTCTCTTGGGTTTTATGTATAAGCCAAAATAGGAATAATTAATCTGAACATCATGGTTTTCTCCTTCTCCTGATTTCTATAGAGCTATGGAAGTTCTAAAGGGCAAAGGCCAGAGATCTTGGTCTGTTGGGCTCTCCGTTGCTGATTTGACTGACACTATACTGAAAGATAAAAGAAAGGTTCATTCTGTGTCCACTCTGGCAAAGGTAAATGTTTTGGTTGGCACTGACTTGGCACTGACTGTATCATTTATACTGGATATGACATTCATTTTGGCAGCACAGACATGGCACGGTTCTGAAGTAGCACTCTTCCATTACATTCTTCCAACAAGAGCTTTCAATTCTAGTCCAAAAATGAACAAAAAATTAGTCTTAATCTGAAACCAATAATAAAGGTGTTTTGTTGCCCCAAAAATACAAGAGTCCAGAGGGAAAATATGTTCAAGGTTGCTGACCAGCTCCCTTGGAATAGTTGGATCTGGCAAATGCAGAGCAGTGGGTGTGTCACTGTTTCCAAGTGCCTGGTTTTGAGTGTAGGTTTTTCCAGGGGTCAATAGAATTAGTTCAATATCTTTTATGAAAGTAGAACGTGCATTTTCTGCCAGTATTTTATCTGACCTGCTTTAAAACAGCTGCTTTTCTACTCTTGGATACTTCACATTGAGGAGAAGATGATGAAGCTGTATTTAACTTAAAATTGTAGCCTGAACCTTTTTTAAAGTTTATCCAAAGAGGCTTCATTAAGGCTTTAAGTTGCTATATATGAGGAAAAAACCCATGTAGAAACGTTGTCTTGTCACTGCTGTTTACAGGCTCCACGAGGGAGATTTGGATGTCCCAGTGCAGGGAAATTGAGCAGGCTGCTTGTTCTATCAAGTACAGACATGTACCTAATCACATCATTATGTCACACAAGTGAAGTGTTTTTAATCACTCAGGATCTAAACAGAGATATGGAGGAGTGACAAGCCTCTTAAACTACAGAGTAACTACAGAATTTAAAATTTCCCATACAGATCCTAAAAATAAATAAAATCTGCAGTGTAAACTGGAATTATAAGTATATAAGTTTAATGAAGTCTCTCACAGAATGATTATGGATGCCATCAATGCTTGAAAAATCCTCCCTGGATAGCTCTTTTTGACTGCACTTTTAAATTTCTTTTGTTCAGTCCTAAAAAACCCATGATTCTGTACTATCCAGTGTCCATGCCTCTTCTACCTAAGAAACTGGTCAAATGGTGTTTTGTAGTATAAACTTTGCCTGCATTATAGAGGTCTGATAGATCTATATTTGAAAACTCCTCCAAGTGGAGTGTGCTTCAAGTTTTTGTTTTTCTCTGTACAGTAACATTTTACAGTTTCTGTATGGTGACCTGTTGCACAGGACCTGAAAACTGGAATTTGACCTATATGAGAAACATCATACAATGGGATATCCTTTCTTAATTACTGCTGTCTGAAGCACAGAGCTACACAACAATTTTAATTAAGTGGCTGTGTGACAGTCTCTTTTCCTGTTGTTTCAGGGGTGTTGCAGTATCAACAGTGAAGTGTTCTTAAGCCTCCCGTGTGTTCTTGGCGCCGGTGGAGTGGTGGAAATGGTCAAACTAGAGGAAGATCCTCTAGTGCAAGAGAAGCTGCAGAGCAGTGCAGGATCCATCCAGGACCTCCAGCAGCAGCTGAAGCTGTGAGGGAGGACCAGGGCAGTGGCCGTGGCTCTGCTGGGCAAAGGGCTTGCTGGCTGCCTGGGGATTTCTGCCTACAACAAGAAGGGATTTTTACTGCACTTTCAAAAAGTGCTTTCTCAGATTGAGTTTAAAGTATTTAATACTGCACTGCACAGCACTTTCTTACTTGGAAAGTGCACTTTTGGTAGCCAAAACGAGGAGGGTAACGCACAAGAATGTTTTACCCAAACTCAGGTGGCTTTTGCTTGTGTTTTTTTATTGCTAATTATAGCCTGATTCTTGGGTTATTCTTCTGTTTGCCATCTCACTGGGACACAGTTTAGGAGAGCTGCTTGGCCAGCTCCACTAGAACTCTACTTGTGCCTTCTGTTATATCTCACAAGAAGCCAGACTTATGAGGGTTTCTAAGTTATTATGTATCTCAGAATTAAGATAAAAATAGAAAGAAAAAAACCTTCAATACTTCACATTATTGTTATCATGGACTACTCAAATTTCCTTCTTTGTGGTGGTCAGGGATGGGATGGAATCAGTGCTGGCTGCAGGTGAGCAGCTTTGCTGCTGTGTTAAAGCACCAGGCACAAGGGCTGCACTGTGGGGGTTGCTGTTTTTTTTCTCTTCCTGTGGAAAAACAGCATAAAATGCCGGTTTTACTCTGCTCCCCAAGGTGTCGTGTTTAATCACTGAGGTGGCTATCGGAGGCGTTCTGTTTGTGAATGGTTTTTCCCATAAGGCGCCGCAGGCTCCCCCAGGGATGGGCTTTGTGCCGCTGCGGATGTTGGACGTGGCTCATGCCGGCTGGTGCCTCTCCTGCTCGGGTCCCGGCGCTGGGAGCCCCGCGGCCGGCCCGCGCTGCCCCGTCCCGG